AGAGGAAGGCAAAAAGACCTCAGAAGCCAAGACATTCAAGAAGAAAAATGTCTTCCTATCCACTGCAGGTACCCAAGAAAAACCCTGAAGCATGGGAATCCTATAGATGGAGAGCTGATGACAGTGATGGCATATGACAGAACAAGGAGCAATGGGCTCAGGTTGCAGCAAAGGAAGTTTAAGTTAGATATTAGGAAAAGCCCTTTATTAGGAGAATGGTGAAGCACTGGCACAGGTTACCCAGAGAGGTGGTGATTTTATGATTATTGAAAACACAACACATCTTTCAAATGCTCTTTGTGATGACACAGATTGATGATGATGATGATGATGGACACAGAACTAAGCAGCACAGAAACTCTTGTTAGCAATGTTGCAAGTTCAAACATTTCAGGCAACAGAGAGCTCTGCCACTATTGAAGAGGATGTGATTTTGTATTTGTTTGTTTACCATCCTTCATGCCATGGAGCCTCCAAGGAAGCACATGCACCCCTGGCCTGATTACATACTCTCATGAATGACACTAATTTGACTGGGACTCTAACGGAAGATTTGTACCTACAGCTGTTAGAAGGCAGTGGTTGCTTTAAGGCTGTCACTCACTTGTAGATGCATACCTTTGGTTCATCTACAAGCATCCTGTCATCCTCAAAACAAGAAAACAGAGGGTCATCTGGAATCCCAACATTTACAGAAAATGGGCTGGAAAGATGGAAGCACCTTGTAGCCGATGTGATCCTTGATGCTGACAGGAATGCCATACAGCAAGCCCTTCTCCTTCTGCCGTCTCAGTTCCTTCAGCTGCTCCTCGCACTCTGATATAAAATCGGTCACACAGTTCACCTCCTGAGTCACTGCCAAGGCCTTTTCATGGACATAGAAAAGGATGGGGGTGGGTGGAATTAGGTAGGGAAAATCACATTTATTTTTGAAATTGGTATGTTCAGTGTTGCCAACTCTCATGATTTTTGGCATTGTTCTTAAAGTCTATACTTCAGGGATGTGAAAAAAACTTTAAAAATTAAGATCTTTCATATATATATAGTAACAGGGAACCGTAGCCCTGTTACTAGGAGGCAGGGCTGCCCCTTTAAGACCTGAGTCTATAGGAACATCCAATACTAGGAGGGTAGGGGTTAAAAACCCAACCACCCAGGCCGGTCTGCTGGCAGGAAGGAGATAGGGCTCTAGGCCCATATAAACTCCAGGGCCGCTGGTGGGGGAAGACCTCTGGCAAGCTGCCAGGGGAAGGGCATGGCAGAACTACCCGGGAACGCTGTGGCTGCTGGCCAGATGGTTGCTGTGGCTAATGAGGCTCCAGGAATCTACAAGGTACCCAGAGCTGGGAGGTACTCAATACTCGAGGAGCAGTTTGGGATTTTTAAGGAGCCAGAGTATGGTGTGTAGGACTTGTATTATGTTATGGCCCAGGGGCTCATATTTATGTTGTTCTTTTATCCAGTAGACTGGGCTGAGGCTATTGGGGGAGGAAGAGGCCTCATTGGGGTACACTACTGTGCAGAGCCCCAGTGCCAGGGAGCACCACAACAGGGGGCAATCATACCCCAAAGCCAGGGGGCACAGAGACAGGGGGCAGACCCCAATGCCAGGGGGCACAGCGACAGGAGGTGGGCAGACCCCAGCACCAGGAGGCCTGGTGATAGAGAGTGAGCAGACACAGTGCCTTAGGGCTCAAGTCAACATCTATATACCATCTATGAGGCATGGGCCACCATGTAGGGGAGGTTTGGAGCAGTGGATAGCAACCCCTAGTATCGGGGTAGTAAATGGGCAGCCTCCCACCTGAGTAACATCATAATTATTGTTACATCAAGGCGTGGCAGGAGAGAAAGGTGGTGAGTAGCCCAGAGACAGAAGGTCAGGCCTACATTAGACAGGCCCAGGGATGGACCCCTGTCACATATCTATATCTATATCTATTATATAGATTATAATAGATATAGCTATGTAATATGTGTGTGTGTGTGTGTGTGTGTGTGTGTGTGTGTATACACACATAAAAGAAAGAGCTAAGGTTTTCACATTCCCAAAACACAGACTTTAAGAACAACACCAAAAATCACGAGAGTTGGTAATACCATATGTCTGGCAGGTATGGAACATATTGTGAACATAAAGTAAAACTATACTTGCATCGGCAGTAGCTGATTGAACAAAAAAACCCCCAACCTAGATTCACAAATATAGATTCAACATATTGACATATCTCCCAGAGATCATGTGCTACTTGTAGTTGAGAGACATAAGAGGTGGGCACCTGCTGTTCATGCCTTTTGTATTATGATTTAGTGCAGGAGCATCCAGCACCTTGCCATGATGGCCTGGACCTCAACTTTCCCATCTGGGAATTGGGGATAACAATTCTGAGTTGCTACAGAGGGTCTTAAAGCACTACAGGCTTTGAGATCTCTGCATGGGAGGTGCAGAGAGACAAACAGCTTTCATTATGCATCAATAGCTACGGTCTTTTGAAGAACTGACCTTGTCCATATAGGTGTAGAGGACGCTCTCTGGAGACAGGGAACCTTCCTTCAGTTTCTCACCCAGCTCCACCAGCGACAGGGAGAGGATGTGATCAGACTGGACCCCTGGGTTCTGCATGGAGCATAAATATTACTGTTGCAGAAGGAAGATGGTGCTACATTGGGTTTATAAGCAGTGTTGTGAATTCACCCCTGGTGGAGTCCTGCTGCAGTGGGGAGAATGCAACAGGGATCCCAATGTCTGTAAGGGGCTGGTGGCAGGGTAGATAAGGCATCTTGCTGTTGCTCTACCAACCTTCAGCTCAAATCTCAATCTGGGCTTGTGCCAGAGGCCACCCGCAGTGGGCCCAGCTACAAATGTGCACCAGGTCCCTTGGATGAAGGAGTTAACGGTGGCCAGAAGCAGTGCTAGCCATCTCATGGCCTTGTGTGCTGCTGGTTGCAGAAGCTGAAGTGCTGTAAGCACCTTCCAGCCCATACTTCCTGCCTACATGGCTTCACCACTCCCATCCTCTCCTGTTCAAGGAACAAACAGGCCAATGGCAATGGGATTGAATAGCAGCCTTCACCTCCCTGCAGGGGGGCTGCAAAGAGGATGGAGCTGGGCTGGTCTCAGTGGGGGCAGATGACAGGACAAGGAGCAATGGGCTCAAGTTGCAGCAAGGGAAGTTGAGGTTGGATGTTAGGAAAACCCTTTTAATGGGGAGGGTGGTGAAGCACTGGGATGGGTTACCTAGAGAGGTGGACTCTCCATCCTTGGAGGTTTTTAAGTCCTGGATAGACCAAAACTTGGCTGGGATGATGTAGTTGGGGCTGGTGCTGCTTGGAGCAGGGTGTTGGACTAGACCGGTGGTTCTCAACCTTTTCTGTACCAGGACCCATTTGTAAACATTGATGGCCAGGCCTGACCTGGGAAATTGTTTAAGTAGAAAACAGCCCCCTGGCCCTGCTGATGCCCCTCACTCCCAACCCACTGCCCCCTGCCCCCAGGCGCCAGCCCCCCAGTGTGTGGGGCAGGGGGTGGGTGTATGTGGGGCATGGGGGACCCCCAAACAGCCCCTTTGAGGCAGGAACTCTGCCAGCCTGCAAGGGAAAACCCACCATTTCCCATAGTTTTCTCCTTTAAAGGAGAATTCAGTTTTAAAGTTTGTTCACGACCCTTTCATATATTCTTGCGACCCACTTTTGGGCCATGACCTGAGGGTCGAGAAACACTGATCTAGAGCATCCTACAGACTTGGGCTCCAGGGTGGAGCTCAGATGGATGTTCCTTATGAAGACTGCTCCCCGGCACCGAGCCAGGCCGTGGGACTGGGAGAAGGCAGCCTGTCTCCCCTGCGTGTCAGTGACCTTCTACTGACAGCGGGGAGGAAACGGACTTGAATGTAGAGGGGATCAAAGATGGACGGGGGTGATGGATGGGTGTCAGCTGGGGCCAGGAGTCTGGAGAGACTGGGACTTGGCCTTATGGACCCTGTCTGAATGCAGTATGCATGAGGGGGCCAAAGAAAAGTTGCACCTCCTCATTTTAGCAGGCTGGACATTGCAGCCTTGATAACATTTTTTTACATCATGCACATGTGTGTGTGTGTGTGCGTGCACATGCGCACATGTGTGCATTTGTGCCTCTGTGTGTGTGCATGTATTTCTGGGTGTGTGCATGCGTGCCCATGCACGTGTGCATGTATGCCCATGCGCATGTGTGCTCATGTGTGCCCATGCGTGTGTGTGCATTTGTGCACGTGCGCTTCTCTGGACTTTAACCAACCTCTACAATATATTCAAGAGACAAATGGAAATCCCCAGGTGCCTGTTTGCATGGGGACCAAGTGAGAGGGGCTGCTTTATTTGCTCCCAGTGCTGCAATGTGATAACGTGCAGGATTAGTCATGCTAAGGCGGCTAGCCTCTGCTCTCTTGGTCAGGTTTATTTGCTCCTGATGTTGTAATTAGATAACGTCTAGCTTGCCAAGTGGAATAACGTGGGGGGAATCAACAATTGGAAAAGTCCAGGTTGCTTCATAATAAAGCCAAGCCTGACGTCTGACGGCTCAGTGTTTGTGTCCCCCAGTTGAAATCCAGGGGTGCAGAAATGCAGATTTCAGTGCTCACCTGCACCGGGAACGAGGGATAAAATTGAACCTCATACTGGAGTCCCGAGCACAGCGATTGAGGCTCCTTGGTTATGCTTGGGATACAGTAGTGACAATTTGGAGTCTCAGTTTCTGCTCTGTATCTTGGCCTAATAATCCTGCCTAGATTAGGTTTTACATCAAGGAGCAGATCAGTGCTTATCTCCTAGGATGGAGACAAATACTTGCAAATGGATCAAGGAGGCAGCGCAGGGTCCTTTTACAGAGGGAGTTGGAGCTGACGGGTGGGGGTGAAGTGGATTAGGAGGGGTGTGACACTAGCAGGTGGAAAGATTTAGTGCAATGCAGAGGCTGAGGTTGAAGAGGAACAGATGCCCCGTCCTTCCCGGGGGTCCCTGCATCAGGCTGGAAGGTAAGAAACCTGCAGCAAACCCCGCATGGCAAACAGGGACTTTTCCCTCCCAAACTCAGAAGCCCTGGATCAGCTGGGCCATGGATTTATTGCTCTATTTTGCTACCGAGAACCTGGCCCCATCACGTCCTGAGGGCAACCTCTTCTCCGCCCCTCGGGGGAGAATTACCTGCTGCTTGAAGAGATGAGCAGCCTTTTCCATTTGAGCCAAGCCCTGCTCCCGCCACCGCCTCGCCTCTTCGATCTTCTCCTGGATCCGTCTCCTCCTCACCCACTTCAGCACCAGGACGGCTGCAGCCGAGCCGCAGAGCAGGGCTGAGATGGTGCGAGGGTCCACATCCACCTCCGGCAGCAGCTGCCTCAGTTTCCCCTGGATCATGGTGAGCCCTTCCCTTTGCCTGGGAGCTGCTGGTGCTACTGCTGCGGGATCCAGAGAGCGACTGACACGCGGGAGGCCAGAGGGGGCTTTGCAGGGATACTCTAGTCCCGCCCGGGACTCGTGAGCAAAGAGCAATGGGAAAACAGAAACGTTTACACAAGGGGAAAACACCTCCGGGAAACCAAATCCCTGCTGTTCAGAGAGGCCCCCGCAGGTCCACTTCATATTCCCCAATGGGGCTTTCCTTCCAGGCTGGGGACAGACATTACACATAAACCGGTTTAAGGGATCAGAAACAGGTTTAAACCTGTAACAGAACAGATGTTCAGTGCACATAAACTGGTTTGAAAATGGCAGAAGCTGGTTTGAGATAAACCTGGTTGGATGTAGGATCAGATTGACATGATTTGGGTCAACCAGGCCCCAGCGAATCAGCCCTAAATAGAAACACAGGGGTAGGACTGCTACCCAGAAAGGAGGCTAGCTCTCCCTCCCTGTGCAGCACAATATGAACCACCCAGGGGCACAGGAAAGTAAGACTGGAAGGGACCTCAGGAGGCCACATCTGCTCAAGGCAGGAGCATCCTCCACTAACCCATCCCAGCTGAGTGTCTGGACACCCTGCTCTTGAAAACTTCCCGGGATGGAGATCCCCCACCTCTCGAGGTGCCTGCTCCAATTCTTGCCTGCTCTCAGAGTCAGAAAGTTCCTCATCTCCAGCCTCAGTTTCCCTTGCTGCAGCTTGAGGCCATTGCTCCTAGTCCTGTCCCCTGCAGCTACAAAGACAAACCCATCTCCATCCTCTCTGCCATCACCCTTTAGGTACTTGAAGGCTGTTATCAAATCTCCTCTCAGTCTCCTCTTCTCCAGATTAAATAACCTGAGTTTTTTCAGCTGCTCCAATGCTGCTATTGGTGGCAGGAGCTTATCGCTGCAAAAACAAGCGGCGGCCGAGGGGGAGCTTCAGGCCCTTTCAGAGCAGGACCGTTGACTGTTTGCAGGGTTCGGCGCACCCGAGGGCAGTGGCCTTGCAGCTGTGCATTTCTCCAGTGGCGGGACCTGCCATGGCCATTTGCGGGAATATTTAACCCTTTTCTCAAATCACTTCCCATCCACAGGCCACCGGCTCCTCTCAGCCATTCCCTTTTCTGATACCTCTTCCCTCCATGCACCACAGCCATACTATCACATGGCCTCTTCCTTGCCCGGTCCCACATGACCACGTAGAAGAGTCGTTTTCTTCCTTCCTGCCGAAGGTGGCTCATGAGCCATTTGTACTGGAAGTCTCTGCGAGCCCTTCGCTTCATAACCCCGCACCTCCTGAGCCTGCCATTGCAACAGCCCTGCTAGGGAGAGGGACGGCAAGGACATCAGGGGTAGGAGGGCTTCCTGACAACATAGGAAGATGGATCATCCTATCATGCAGCCTGTTGATCCTGGGCTAGGATTACCAAATAGAGCAGGAAAGCAGGGGTCACCATTGCCTAGGCCACAGCTGCTAACACAAGGGCTCAAGGTCATCCAACCTGTGTGCCCAGAATGGAGGGAAGGAAAGGGGCTATCCCCCCTGTCCAGGGCTCAACCTCATCTTGCTGCACCTGAACATCAGGCTTGGTTCAGAACCAGATGCTGATGGAGAGGATTTGGGTGGCTTTCAGAAAGGAAGATGGCCTGGAAAGTTGGCAGAGAGGAGGCCTGAGGAGGCCATAAAACATGTGCTCTCTTGGCTTGAAGCTCTTTTTTTATGGGAACAGGAACTACAATGTGGTAGAAATGGTGCTTGCATGTGTAGGATTTGGCTGTAGAAACAAGCCCTGGGCTCCAGGAAGGCCGTTCTGTCGGCTAGGCTCTGTAGGAGCATGGAGGAATAAGGGGAAGAGAAAATGGGCTAGGATCAAGCCAAAGACAAGCGTTGTGTTTAGTTTGGGGAGATCCCAGAGATGCCCCAGGAGCTGCTACTTTGAAAGAAGAGTAGAGCCAAAGTGGAGGGATGGGAGATGTTGCCCGGAGGACCAGATCTGCACTGGACACCCTGCCTTGGGGATACTGATGTCTAGGAAGAAACAGGACTTCAGAGGGACCTGGTTGGAAGGGCACAGACCCCCCCGTGGGAGACAGAGAGCAATGCCACCAGGGGAAGCTCTGGGACTGGAGGTCCGCTGCAGATCCCTAGCCCAGGAAAATGCTGCTCTTGGTCCTAATCTTCCTTCTAGCCCCAGGCATCAGCGTGACTGAGCCCTGGATGAGCAGACCAGCTTTCCCAGAGCCTGAAATGTCTGCATCAACCCCAGGGCTGCGGTCTGAGCAGAGTTGTTTCCAAGGGGCTCCAAGGCAAACCTCTCGTTGGATGCAAACATGGTCCAGTGAGAGTCAATGCCCAGCAGTCGAACCCTCCTTCAGACTACAGCTGCCCCAACTGCCCCAACTGCATCTCTAATAAAACTAAAGAGCTGCATGGATGCTTGTCTTCACAAATGACAGCAGCGCGTGCCGTCTGGGGAGAGCAAACATTGACCTGGAAGTGCTTTGCTCCCGGTCTCATACCAACACCAGATCTCTTTTTAAGCACAAATTGTCCCTTGCACCAGGACTGTAAAGAGCCCTTTTCCTAATGCAGTCCCAGCTAAGACAATGCAATCCTGGCATTCACTGGCTGTTTATACCCTCCTCCTCCTTCCTCTCCATGGACTGCCACCTTGGTGGGGTGAAGAGGCTTGCATGTACCAAGGATCCTAAGAGCGACACTGTCGGGAGTCTTGTACTCCTGGTAGGGTCACCCACGGTGGTAAGGTCAAAGGGGAGGTATCAGATGAAGAGCAGTCCAATGCAACGCAACACAACGCAACGCAACGCAACGCAACGCAAAGACCGTAGTGGTGGAGTAGGGGGAGGCAGAAAGCAAACTTCTCAATGTCTGCAAAGGCAGATGAAGGCGGCAGTGGAAGAATAACCTAACATGAGTCAAAGCGGGCAAGAGTGCTCAAAAGCCCCCTTGGCTCGCCAAATCCATTCAGGAACTCCTGAAAGCCAAAAAGGAGGGGTACATCCAGTAGAAGGGGGGTGCTATCACCAAAGAGGATTATACCTCCATCGTGCGAGTCTTGTAGGGGGGCTGTTAGGAAGGCTAAGACAGAGACAGAACTAGGGCTAGCAACAAGGATCAAGAACTTCTGGAGGGGCTGGACGTATTCAAATCAGCAGGTTCAGATGCTCTCCACCCCAGGGTGCTGAGGGAATTAGCAGGGGTCATTGTGGGACCCCTGGCATGGCTTTACGAGCACTCGTGGTGCTCTGGCCAGGTGCCAGACGACTGGAAGAAGGCCAATGTGGTCCCCATTTTCAGAAAAGGGAGGAGGGAGGACCCGGGCAACTATAAGCCTGTTAGTCTTACCTCGGTCCTGGGGAAGCTCTTTGAGAAAATTATCCAGGAGCACATCTGGGAGGGACCAGCAGCAGGGATGATGCTCAAGGGCAACCAACATGGGTTCATTAGAGGCAGGCCCTGTCAGACCAACCTGGTGGCCTTCTACGAAGGCCCTGTCCGACCAACCTGGTGGCCTTCTACGATCAGGTCACAAAAGCATTGGATGCAGGTGTCGCAGTGGATGTAGTCTTTCTGGACTTCAGGAAGGCCTTCGCACCTACACAGTCAAATGGGTTGCTAACTGGCTGGAGGGCCGCACCTAGAGAGTGGTGGTGGACGGGTCATTTTCAACCTGGAGGGATGTGGGCAGTGGGGTCCCCCAGGGCTCCGTCCTCAGACCCGCACTGTTCAACATCTTCATCAGTAATTTGAACAAGAGTGTAAAAAGCACCCTGTTCAAATTTGCTGACAACACGAAGATGTCGGGGGATGTGGGCACGCTAGAAGGGAGGAATAGGCTACAATCGGACCTAGACAGGGGTGCGCGGATGAGAGCAGGATGGGTTTCAACACTGACAAGTGCAAGGTGCTGCATCTGGGGGGGAAGAACCAGCAGCAGACCTACAGGCTGGGGAACTCCCTTCTCGTCAGTGCAGAGGCAGAAAAGGATCTGGGAGTCATTACTGATGCCAAAATGAACATGGGCCGACAGTGTGGGGACGCGGTCAGGAAGGCCAACGCACCTTGTTGTGCATCCACAGATGCATCTCAAGTAGGGCCAAGGAGGTGATCCTCCCCCTCTATGCAACATTGGTCAGGCCACAGCTGGAGTACTGTGTCCAGTTCTGGGCGCCGCACTTCAGGAGGGATGTGGACAGCGTGGAGAGGGTCCAGAGGAGGCCACCCGCATGATCAGGGGCAGCAGGGCAGGCCCTACGAGGAGAGGTGATGGGACCTGAACCTGTTCAGCCTCCACAAGAGAAGGCTGAGGGTGGACCTGGTGCCTGTCTATAAATTTACCAGGGGGGACCAGCGGGGAATGGGCGAGACCCTGTTCCCCTGAGCACCTCCCGGAGTAACTAGGAATAACAGCCACAAGTTGATGGAGAGTAGATTCAGACTAGACATCAGGAGGTGCTACTTCACAGGGTGGCTAGGATCTGGAACCAGCTTCCAAGGGAAGTGGTGCTTGTTCCTACCTTAAAAGGAGGCTTGATAACTACCTAGCTGGGGTCATATGAGCTTAAACTTACCAGGGGTCATATGTGCCCTGTATTCATTCCTGCCCAGGGCAGGGGGTCAGACGTGATCATCTGCTCAGGTCCCTTCCAACCCTACATCTATGAACCTATGAACCTCGGTTTTCTTGGATCTCCTTGCCACTGGACACAGGTTTCTCCTTTGCCAAGATGCACAACTGTCTCCTCACATAAAATAAGTCATGTGCAGGCTTCTCCTGCTGGTCCCGACCCGTGGGAGCGATTGTCCTCAACCTTGAGGGATCGCCACTGCCGTATGGTCCTCTGTATACATTAGCTGGGGCAGGGAAGGTGCATTTCCACTGTGGGTAAGACTTGCAGTGAAGCAAACCATTACTGCAGCTCTGAGGATGCTTTCAACCATTTCCCAGACATTTTCATCCAAACCCAAC